TTGCTCTGCCTGTCTCCACCTGAAAGCTAAGCCACATAACCTATGAAGTCTCCTCAGACAATACTAGTAAGAAATAATCCCTCCTTCCTGTGCACACAATAGTTTATCTTTCTTAAAATACCTTCTATACTTTACCCTTGTCCTAAAATTATGTATCTTATGTCTTATTCTTCTTGGTATGTGCCACAGTACCCTAGTACAATGCCTGGCATACAGTATCTACAAAATAAAGATCTGTCAAACTGATAAAATGACACTACATATAATTACAGGTATATACAGCATTCAGAAAGCATGCTAGTTTTCTAAAGAACCTTCTCATTCATGTATATATCCCTAGCTCAGGCCATTACCATTGCAACAACATCTGTATCTACTCAGCATCTTCCTCTTGCAATGGGTTATTCTGTGAAGAGTACATACCTTAACTGTTTTGATTCACTTCTCAACACTATGGGCTTTCAAATCAAAGTAAAAGTCCTGATCTCATACCTTTAGATTATCTACCCAAATCTGTCTACTCTTTATCTAAATATCCACATTCTAGCCTAAGTTCTTCACAATAATTTAAAGGGTCTTCAATTATGCCCACCTGTACTTTTTACTTACTAGTCAATCATGCTGTCTCCCCAAGTGGAACATCCTTTAGCATTTTCTACGCAAAAACAGCTCCACTTTCGCACCAAAATTATTAGTCTCAAAGTCTCATTCCTCTTCCTTAGAGGCCTTCCCAGGCAGCATTATATATTTTGAGTCACTTCAGTTGGTCTACCAAATTCATTACTTAATATTTGCTCTGTCATTTATAATCACATTTATGTTACTCAATTATATATGTTTGAATTAATGTAGGGAATTCTGCTTTAAATCAAGGATGATGAGCTCACAACAGAATACGCATCTGTAAAAAGAATTCTGATCCAGTGTTGCAGTCTTCAGCATAGCAAATATTAGTGGAAGAATAATGTAGTTGTAGACAGCACAGACTGTGAAGGCAAGACTATCTGAGTTCAAATTCTGGCTTTGGTATTTTTTAGTACTTTGGATAACTCACTTAACATCCATGTTCATCAGCTTCATCAGAGTTATTTTTAAAATTACATGAGTTAATACATATAAAATCCTTTAAAAAGCATTTGGCACATAAATTCAGCATAATCTTCTATTGTTTTGACTTTTAGCCTCTCACTTATAGCTGAGAATACTAAAGTGCAAAAAATTTAACAACTTGCCAAAAGTCACAGGAACTAGTAAGTTGTAAAGTCAGAAAAGAAACATGAGATTCCTACTAGAGGAGTCTGTCTCACCATTTTATTCAATATCTTTTCAATAAATTGAAATTTTATTCAATTTGTTTAAGGTCTTCGGGACCATTATATGATTAAAAAATGATAAGAAATAAATTTTTAAAAGGAAAAGGAGATTATTATAAACTAACTCATGGATTAAGAAAAGAAGCAAGAAATATAATAATAATAGAAGAGAGAGCACAGGCTTATGCTCATGTAAACGGAGGGGACAGGTAAGTATTCCAGAGAACTGGGTTAAGCATATTATGATGGAGCCAGCCTGGCCAACATGGTGAAACCTCATCTCTACTAAAAATACAAAAATTAGTTGGGCATGGTGGTGCACGCCTGTAACCTCAGCTACTCAGAAGGGCTGAGGCAGGGGAATCACTTGAACCCAGGAGGCGGAGGCTGCAGTGAGCCAAGATTGCGTTACTGCACTCCAGCTTGGGTGACAGAGTGAGACTCTGTCTCAAAAGAAAAAATAAATAAATAAATAAAATAATAAAGAAAAAAGATTAGGATGGAGGTAACTGTCAGCTTTATTTTCCATTTAAGACATAATGATGTCCTTGCTTGCATTAAAATCACTTATTTTTAGCAGTTTAGAAAGTCCTTTTTCAGCCAGGTGCAGTGGCTCACATCTATCATCCCAGCACTTTGGGAGGCTGAAGTGGGTGGACTGCTTGAGCCCAGGAATTTGAGACCAGCCTGGGCAACAGGGCAAGACCCCATCTCTACAAAAAAATTTAAAAGTAGCTGGCCGTGGTGGTAGTCCCAGCTACTCAGGAGGCTGCCATAGGAGGATCAACCTGGGCCCAGGAAGTGGAGGCAGCATTGAGCCAGCCATGATGGTACCACTGCACTGTAGCCTGGGTGACGGAATGAAACCCAGTCTCCAAAAGAGAAAAAAAAAAAAAAAAAAAAAGGGAAAGAAAGCCTTCTCTGTTCCATCGAAAGCTCATCACTTCAAAATTAAAAATGTGTGAAATAGTTTTATTTTTTCACATAGAATTTCAATGTTTACATATAGACAAAGAAATCACAAATTTCAGAAATTCAGTAAGGAACTTAGAGAGGCATCAATGTATTTACCATCTACATTTAACTTTTATCCTTTAAATGTCTGAAGGTCATGTTCAGGACCATCACTATTTGCCCTAGGCATTTCCTTAGATAAAAACCCAATGGTTACTTAAAATATACACTCTGTCCTAACAAAAATACTATATATTATATAACCTCTCACCTCCCATTCTAAAAAAAACTCTAAAGGAAAAATACAGGTAATTCAGTTTATCAGGGCAGGAAATTATCTTTCGTAAGAACACTATATTTTAGATATTTGTTAAACAATATCTGTCCCCCTAATTATATGCCCTTTGCTTATAACCAACCTCTTTGTATGCTCCTACAGGGGCAACCAATACCCAGCTTAGGCTAAAACGAATACCAGCATTAGTAATCGAAAGACTCTTGTATGGTTATGAATATTTTGTGAAAATATACCACAAAAGTAAATTTCTGAATATTTTACATTTTAAAGTGATGATCAAAAAACAGTAGAAAATGAATACAGAAAATATATGTCCGAAATGTACATTCAATAACACATGCTTTTGTAACCTGAATCTGTATTTCTTTAGGCCTCCACTATAAAACTGCATATAGTCTCAGAAAAAAAAGGAAGACTCTCAAAAATAGAGAGGGATTGCTTTAAGAAAATAAAACAAGGTAAAGAGAATAAAAGGCAAGCTTAATATCCAAAAGAAATGCACAGTTGTTAACCCAATTCCAACTTCCAAAAATAACTGAAATTCCAGGAACTTCAGAAGAAAAAAGCAAATAGAGAAGACCACACTTCTTCAGCTCTTCAAACAATCTTTCCCAAATTGTTTAACAATGCTATGTGTTTTTTAAAATGTGGATTTTTCTCCCCTTCCTTCAAATTCTGGCAACAGCTGCTAAATGTTTTATACTCCACATAATTTCCATGAATTAAGCCTACTTTAAAAGGCAAAGGCTAGGTATAAGCTGAGAGGAGTGCTTTAAAAAAAAAAAAAAAAAAAGGCAAAGGCAGGAGAGCAGAAACTGATGTTCATTCCTTCTCAAATGATAACATACTGAACTTATCAACATCTCGTAAAATTGTCTAGCTCTGGCCGGGCGCGGTGGGTCACGCTTGTAGTCCCAGCACTTTGAGAGGCCAAGGTGGGTGGATCACCTGAGGTCAGGAGTTCGAAACCAGCCTGGCCAACAGGCAAAACCCTGTCTCTACTAAAAATATAAAAAAGCCAGGCATGGTGGGTGCCTGTAATACCAGCTACTTGGGAGGCTGAGTCAGGAGAATAGCTTGAACACAGGCGGTGGGGGTTGCAGAGAGTTGAGATCGCGTCACTGCACTCAAGCCTGGGCGACAGAGCGAGACTCCATTTCAAAAAAAAAAAAAAAAATTGTTTACTTCTGTTACCAGAAGACCATGTCACCAATACTAAACTTTAACTTCTTAAACTCTGGTTTGTGTAAAGTCAAAAGTTGTTCTGGCCAAATAATTCATTTTATATATCCCGATAACTGGCTTACTGAATTCCCTCTGCTGAATCCAATAAATCCTCCTTACTAAATCTCACTGCTGTTATACCTCATGGACTCATGTGATCCCAATCTAATCACAGTTTGAGATCTTTATCTTTGAGGCTCAAAAGTTTTAACCCTTTACCAGGAATGGGCATACAACAAATTTATTTGACCAAGCATTTACTCAGTTTCTTTCATCTTGTCCTATTCTCTTTGCCCTGATTCGTGCTGCAAACATTTACTAGTACCTATTATAAGCTGTGAAAAATGGTAACACAGAAGATACAAACGTAAGGTATTTACTCTGCCCTTAAGGGGCACATATTCCAGTAGAGGAGACAAATACAAAAACAAATAATTTCTACAAAGTGTGAGAAATTCTATAAGAGTTTTATAAAACTTCTAGAACACAAATGGAAGACAGTAAGGGAAGCTTCACAAAGCAGTTAACATTTGAAATGGGTCTTGAAGAACAGTAAGGTAGGATGGATATGTGTTTGTATTAGCTGAGATGCTAGAAATGTAGAAAGGATGAGGAAAGCTGATGGCAGTCAAAGTGCTGACTAAAAATATGTTAAAATAGACAACTTAGGATATTAACTATAGTTCCTTTTTTGTTTCACTCTTGCAAACTAATTTTAACCATTAAGTCACAAGTAAGAATTATCTTACAAGCGATACACACACACACAACTTAGAAATGTTGTGTACAAAGTGACTATTAAATGGACAGAACCAGGAAAAGGTATTTTGAGGACAATGGGGAAAATTCAATGCAACCAAACTGACCCTCTATAATAGAAGGGAATAGCTGTGTTACATAAAACTATTCCTAAATGTTGTAGATGCAGAGAAAAGAATACCAAACTAAAACTCAAGAAAGCTGGATTCAAGTCTCAAACAACAGCTGCGCCCTAATTGGGACGAAACCTTTTACTTAAGTCCTAAACTGCCCCTCAGGGTTAAGATCAAATAAAATGAGTCTGAAAAGTGTTCTGAAAAATGTAAAATGCTACACAAATAAAATCTTACTTTCATTATAGTTACATGTGCTACATTGGAAAAGAACTTTCAAAATCTGTATTTCAGAAATATTCAATGCATTATACTAAATTTATGACAAAGAGCCTTTACCCGTTCTACAGATCGTGCCCTCTTCTTTGGCCGAGTAGGCAGCGCATCTTCCTTCGGATTGGTGTCTATTGCCCAATAGGACCCCTAGAGGTAAAGAAATTATATTAACAGTATAGTACAGCAACCCTATGATATTAAAATGGATTTTTATAATCCTTTGCATCAAAAGCAAACATTCTGCAAATACAATGGAAAAACAGCATAAGAAACACTTGTTTTGAACTGAGAAAAAGATTATATAAGAAAATATATCCACATATAATTACATTATTAAAAGAAAACATTCATAAGCTGAAGAATCCAAATCTAAGAACTTCTGCCACACCAAAATTTAGAAAGAAAATGATCAACAAAACACATTTTTAATATACAGAGATTCTCAATTGAACAGATGTTAATTATATGACATTAAAAGAATTTAATGTATAAAGATACTGTAGTTTCTATATATCCTGGGACCTCACAAATCTACACGGTTAGTGAAACATTTTTAAAGACAAACTGCTTGAACACATTTTATATAGTAAGTGTTCCTAAGAAGCAAAGATATGTGCATAAATTTTTTACTGCTTACTCTGTCATGACTTAACTATTCCCTCTTACTTTTTGATACAAGTTATCACAGCATTCATTTGAAAATATGTATGGAGCACCTACTGTGTTTCAGGCACTCAGAAACTGTGACTCTCCAAAAAAACAAAAGAAAAAAAACCAAAAAAACCCAAAAAACTTTGGAAAAGCATAGATCCATAGATAGTTTGCAAACATTATACAAACAAGAATAGCAAAACACAGAAAGATAAAGTGGCTTTCCCATTCAAAGTTGTGAGAACCAGGAACAAAGACAAACAGAAACAAAATTGGATTTTTAGCTTTTTCCTTCAATTATCCTGCCTCTATACACACAATTGGGGGAGGAAAGCATGAAAGAGGGGAGTTCAAGAAAGAGAAAGAGGGAAAGGAGGAAGATATGCATTTCAGAAACAGAAACACAATGTACATCCTAGTTTTACAATTAATCCCAGTGATCATATCCAAATTTAGTCTTTGTCTCTACTATCTCATTAATCTTCCTAGGCTGTTTTTTAAGGCAACATTTGACAATGACGGGAAATACAACCCTCACCTATCAATCCTCACACTTTATGCCCAACATGAATCATCTCCTTATACTTTCTTGAACATACCATGTCGTTTATCTGTCCTATCCTACATGCTGACCTCACTACTTTAATGCCCACCATACCAATGACAAACTCATATTCCACCTTCAAATTTTACCTCATATTATCCAAAGGAATCCTTCTTTGATCTTGCTGCCATACCCAAGAATTCATCACTCTCTCCCTCTGTAAGATCTCTATACTTTTTACACATTTAGACCATTGTTTGCAATTAACATTCAATTCTGTTTACAGGTCTGTATCCCCTTCTAGGCTATATATATGTATTCCTTAAGGGTAGGGACTATTTTACTTGTTTCTATATCCACAGTGCCAGGCACAATGTCAGACACAAAGCAAGTACTCAATTAACATCTGTTGAAATGAGAAGGGGAAAAAAGCTGTTTAACAAACTGCACCAAGAATATCTGTGTACTGGGTGTTACTATGTACATGCCAGTGTACACTGTTGGTGTACAAGGTAGGTGTCTATGTCTCGGATCCTGGTCTATGCAGGTACCCGAGCTTAACACTCATTTCATCACCCAGCCACTGCTGGGGTATTTCTATGTTATCTTTTCAAAACAGTCACTGCATTTCAGCTAAGAGTCTACCAGACCTGGTAAGAATCTGTTAGGTAGGACCTATGAACTTGCCAAGAACCCTGTAAAATGCAGATGCTACAAAAAGCACTAAAAATGGGAAAACAATGATTTTGGGAAAACAATGATTTAGGTTTGGCTAGCAAGTTTCAAAATAAATGCAATGGGGAAAAATTTTACACTGAGTTCTTACAAAAATTAAAAATAAAGTAGGAGAGAAAATACCAAAATTCATTGGACAACAGTTTAAAAACCACTTTTCACAGAAATGATAAACTCCAGCGTTTACTTTTGTTTTGGATGGGTGTGTATATGTGTATTAATCTGGGGAAACCATTCAATGTCCAAACTTTACACTGATTTGTTAGTAAATATTTCAATAAAATTACAAAAACAAATAGATATCTCTTCTTCCACACAAAATACGAATGGTTGTGGCTTGTCACACATAAATCAACAAAAGGAAAAAAACTTGCCCACAGCCTATTACTATCCACTAGGTATTCATAAAATCCTGAACGCCTAAATGCAAATTCTAATAATTAAAGATTCACAAAAGTAATTGTGAAATCTTCCACCAAATAGTTCAGGCTAACAAAGTATTTGAGCTTGACCTCTGAAATCACAGGTTTGAATAAAGAGACCTTAAAATTCCTCTTCACATAGCAAAACCATAGTGAGATAACACTTTATACCCACTAGGATGTCTATGATGAAAAAAAAAAAAAAAAAAAACAGAAAATAGCAAGTACAGGCTAAGTATCCCTTATCCAAATATCCAAAATGCTTGAAATCAGAAATCTTTTGGATTTCAGATTTTTTCAGATTTTGGAATACCTGCATATAACTAATGAGATATCTTGGGGATGGGACTCAAGTCTAAAGCTCAAAATTGATTTATGTTTCATATAAACTCTTATACACATAGTTTGAAGGTAATTTTTTGTAATCATTTTAATAATTTTGTGCATGATAACAAAATTTTAACTGTAATCCATCATATGAGGTGAGGCATGGAATTTTCCACTAGTGGCATCATGTTGGTGCTCAATAAGTATTAGATTTTATAGCATTTGTATTTCAAATTTTCAGATTAAGGATGTTCAACCTGTATTGGCAAGCACGTAGAGAAACTGAAACTCTTATGCACTGCTGATAGAAATGTGTAAAGGTGTAACCACTGTAGAAAATATGGCAATTCCTAAAAAAATTACATGGAATTACCAAATGATCCAGCAATTCCACTTCTGGATATATACCCAAAAGATACGAAAGCAGAAAGTCAAGTATTTACACACCCATGTTCATAGTAATATTACTCACAACAGCCAAAAGGTAAAGCAGTCCAAGTGTGCATTGAAGGATAAATGGATAAACAAATACACCACATACACCCAATAGAGTATTATTCAGCCTTAAAAAGGAGGGATATTCTAGCCAGGGGCAGTGGCTCACACCTGTAATCCCAACACTTTGGGGGGCCGAGGAGATAGATTATGAGGTCAGGAGATGGAGACCATCCTGGCTAACACAGTGAAACCTCATCTCTACTTAAAAAAAAAAAAAAAAAAAAAAAAATACAAAAAATTAGCCAGGCATGGTGGCAGGCACCTGTAGTCCCAGCTACTCGGGAGGCTGAGGCAGGAGAATGGCAAGAACCCAGAAGGTGGAGCCTGCAGTGAGCCCAGATCACACCACTGCACTCCAGCCAGGGCAACAGAGTGAGACTCTGTCTCCAAAAAAACAAAAGGGATACTCTGACATATAAGCCAGTCACAGAAGGACAAATATTGTATGATTCCACTTAAAAGTAGTAAAATTCCTAGAGACAAAGAGTAGAATGATGGTTGGTAGGGGATGAGGGGAAAGGAATATAGACACTTACTGTTTAATGAGTAAAGAATCTGCCGGGCGCAGTGGCTCACGCCTGTAATCCCAGCACTTTGGGAGGTCGAGACGGGAGGATCACAAGGTCAGGAGACCGAGACCATCCTGGCTAACACAGTGAAACCCTGTCTCTACTAAAAATACAAAAAAAAAAAAAAAGTAGCCGGGCGTGGTGGCAGGCGCCTGTAGTCCCAGCTACATGGGAGGCTGAGGCAGAAGAATGGTAACCCGGGGACAGAGCTTGCAAGGAGTCGACATCGGCCACTGCACTCCAGTCTGGGCGACAGAGTGAGACTCCGTCCCCCCAAAAAAAAAAAAAAAGAATTTAAGTGAGAAGATGAAAAGGTTCTCAAGATGGATGGTAGTGATGACTGCACAACAATGTGAATGAACTTAATATTACTGAACTGTATACCTAAAATGATTCAAATGGTAAGAATTATGTTATGTATATTTTACTACCAAAAAAGTACCTCTCAGCCTTTTCTTTTCTTTTTTTCTAAACACAGAGGCACGATCATGGCATAATGCAGCTTTGATCTCCCAAGCTCAAGTGATCCCAAGCCTCACAAGTAGCTGAGACCACAGGTACACTCCACCTCCACGCCTGGTTTTTTTGTTTGTTTGTTTGTTTTGAGACAGAGTCTCACTCCTCTGCTGGCCAGGCTGGAGTGCAGTGGTGCAATCTCAGCTCACTGCAACCTCTGCCTCCTGGGGTCAGGCAAGTCTCCTGCCTTAGCCTCCCAGGTAGCTGGGATTATAGGCGCCCACCGTCACGCCCAGATAATTTTTGTATTTTCAGTTGAGACGGGGTTTCACCATGTTGGCCAGGCTGATTTCAAACTCCTGACCTCAGGTGATCTGCCTCCCAAGTGCTGGGATTACAGGTGTGAGCCACTGCACCCTGTCTAGTTTTCTGATTTTTTGTAGAAATGGAGTCTTGTCATGTTGCCCCGGTTAGTCTCAAACTCTTGGGCTCAAGTGATCCTCCTGCCTTGGACACCCCAAAATGCTGGGGTTACAGGTGAGCCACCACACCCGGCCATCTAAGAAGCGTTACCTTTGCTCTTCCTTGTTAGACAATATAGAAATCTCACAAAAACTGAACTGACATTTTAGATAGCCAATCAACAAACACAGGCTCAGTTCAATTTCCTCCCAGAGTAGGGTCTATACCACTAGGCTCATGTGGAGCAAGTAGGAAACAGGAGGTTTTTGTTTATTAAGTGGGGATTTTTTGGGGGGGGGGGGGGCAGGGAAAAGGGTGTTGAGGCAAGGTCTTGCTCTGGTGCCAACAATGGAACACAGTGGCACACAATCATAGATCACTGCAACCTCACACTCCTGGGCTTAATCAACACTCCTTCCTCAGCCTCCTGAGTAGGTAGGACTATAAGTGCCTGCCACCAGGCCCAGCTAATATTTTCCTTTA